GTTAAAATACCAGTATATTGGAACAATGTTTTCCATAGTAGTTGATTTAAAATAGGTCTGACTTCAAAGGATCTACAAAATTCTCTTCTAAAAGTTTGTAATGCTGCAACAAATCAAGAGTGAGACAAGTGTATATCAAAATATTAAAAAATTAGTCTTGTCATAAGTGTCAATTATGTGTATATATTATTTTATTTGAATAATTATCTCAAATTATGTGTTTAATATATTATTTATTTACCATTAAAAATGACGATATCTAGATACAACTAAAACCTTAGTGGTTAAACTGAAACACTGTGCACTTGATTACTTATGAAACAACAGAATCATGCAATCATATCAACAGACATATCAAAAGTACAGAAACATTTGTCTTCTCTTTCTTTGAACAGTTTAGCTATCACATGATTTGATGGAGCAAAAAGATAGTTCGTTGACAAAGTGGATGAAAATCATAAAGCTGTGAGTAACAGGAGTGTATTGCCTTTCATCTTCATCTCCACTCACCCACTTGGACAAATGGGGCTTGTAGTTGCTTGTTTCCTCTTTAGCACATTTGCCCAAGGCAACAAACCAAAGAAATTCCAGGTAACAGTTTATCAAATGCTTGCAGGCAGTTAACTCCCACTCTTCTGTCACTCAGCATCATTTTAAAAAGGGAACCTTGACCCAGGTGTGCCATGAGCTTGGAAGTTCAGTAGGTGGGATGCAGCTGTCACATGAAAGATGGATGATGTGCATTTTATGTTTTCAATGCATGTTAGTGTATCTCAGAGTGGGTGTGCTAATAAAAGGTGACATCTCACCAGCGATATTGCAGGAGCCTTGGGAAAAGGACTCAGAACAGTTGCAGCATGTGATAGGAATGGACAGGAGGAGAGACTTCATGCTTAATGTACAGGGGCTGTAAGTTTGCATTCGAATTTCCAGCACTGGAAACGTGCGTGGCACAGGGTTTATCAAAATCAGCAGGACCGTGTATAATGCACAGCTTGCTACAAGGGTTGAGAAGAAAATTTATTGATGGCTGCAATAAATTCTTATTACATATAAATAATTTATAAACACATTTCAGATTATTATATTGCTCTGTTATTGGTGTAATGAATCAATTTTGTTTAATAGGTACAGACATTATACATTTTAAAAGGTACTCTCACATACATGATGAACTAATTTTATCTTAACGTGTGAAACTGTCCTCAATGTTCTGTTGCTTTCTTCTTTAATGAGGCAGAAATTGAGGAAATAATCTGAATATAGATCTGCATTTTAAATTTTTATCAATAAAATTGATATTTAAATTATGAAATTTGAATTATTTAAGATACCTTAATTTCATATTTACCTTTTTCACTGTATTCAAGGAAAAAACGAATAAACAGTGTAAAAAAACAAGGAAAGAACTGGTTTCCACTGTAAACAATGAAAAAAGCTGCTTATTGCCATTTTCATACAAATTGTCCTCTTGTTAAACTTTGCCTTTTCTCACAAAACTGCCCAGTTTTGCTACCCACGGTTCAATGCCCACAAACACAGGCCCTGCACCACATTGTGGTCATGAAGGTGGCACCAGTTTGCCCCTCCCTCTTTGACACAGACCTTTTCAAATGTTTTTAAGACCATCAAGACTTGGAACAGCCAACTTCCATTCCCATCCTCTCTATTCCTCCAGAACCTGATATTTTGATTTTTTTTTCCTTTAAAATCTGCATCTCCTGGTGTGCCACAGCTCCCACACCACACCTGACCCCCAGTGCTCTTCCAGTGGCCCCAAAGTGTCTCCTGCAGGCCCCTGGATCAGCTCAGCTTTGCAGGATGTGCTGTGCCACTGCCTTCATTTTGGCCAGCATGGTTGATGGCAGTGGAAATGCTGCACGTAGGGGCCTTAATGCTGGTTTGGTTGGATGACCCAGCAGTTTGGATCGGGGCTCTAGCTCTCCTTTGGTACATTTATTCACACTTCTATAGCATAGTATTCACTCTCATATTAATTTACATTTCCTATTATATCTCTAATGGGAACTCTCTAACCAGTCATTACTTTATCCATATGTTAAATGTTCATTTTGCAGCTATTAGTATTCTGCCTAGGCTATATATCTCTTAAATACTAATTTTGGACATTGCCCAGTTTTCCTGTCTTCCTCAGCAGAATGTCACCATTCTGAACCTATTCACTAGCCCTTGGATGGACTAAACACACACAGATCATTAGACCAACACCAATTTTCTGTTGGTGCCATTTTCGTGCTCATTTTTTCAACAGAGTGTTTTTAAGCCCTTCTGACCATTGCTTTAGCCCTCTATGTATACAGCTTGCTACAGTGTTCTCAGAAAATAATCCCTCAGTTTGCAGTATGATGTTTTCATCCAAATACTGAAATGTTACTATTTAGGTGAATTTTCCCACCATGTATCATAATGCTGATTATTTCTCTGCCTTCTGGCCTCCAGAATCAACAAGTGTAACAAGACAGGTCGTGCTCATATCAGTCAGTGGCACAATTTCTTACTTCTTCAGTGGGATCAACTGTATCACCAGCACCTGAACAAAAAAAAAGGTAAAATGCAGTAGGAATTTTCTCACTGGAATTGTAACATTTAGGCGCTTTTATTTTTAAGTTGAAGACCAGTTTTATTTCTGTCTTTTACCTTGTCTTTCATTTTGGTGCTGGTGTAAACATCAGGCTTAATTTTTTTCCCCTTTTATTTATGTATCTACTTGCTTTAGATATTTTCCAAAATTATGGCTACTGTAGATGCTTTTACAAATGAAACTGCAGAATGTATGCAGATGGTGTCTACAGGAAGAGAGCTAGGTTTTCTCTTTCTCCCTTTTTGGTCCAATAAACATTGATTTATAAAATGTGGAACAGATCCCACAGGACACTAGAATATTCAGTAGCTTGGTAAATATTCAATGATCTAGGATAGGCGTTCAAATATTTGCTCCACATAATGGATGGAAAAAGAAGAAAAGAAAAATTTACCTGTTGGTTTCTCTCTCATTTTTGTTATCAAGATGAGAAAATCGTGCTTGGGCTACCAAGGCACATCACCTGGACAAAGTGAAGAAATCAGGTAAAGATAACAATAACCCTTCAGGAGTGGTCTAATATGAATGTTCAAATATACTTTGTAGAGAGGAGTCAGTCTGATTTATTAAAAGGTAAACTGGGTTCTTCCCTGCATCACTGAGTGGGATAAGATTAACGATTTTACTGTAAGGAACTGTACCAAGATTAATGGTTAGAGCAGAGATGCTAATGTTTGTGTTTAGCAAAAACTACGAGGAAAGAAGTGAAATGTTGCTACTGAAATGTTGCTAAGTTGTACTTCACCTTTCCTTGGTACCCGTGAAGCACAAGAGTGTATCACAAGAGAAAAGCCAGTCCTCGGCCAGGGGCTGCACACAAGGCATTCTCTGTATGGTTTAGCTGGGATTCCATTTTCCATATGAACAGATGTAGACGCTGTCTTTGACTGCAGTCAGACACCTCTGTACCCCTGTGAAGTGTTCTGCCCTGGTGAAGCTGTGTCAGAGGATAAGCACAGTGAGGCTGTGACGTGCCTTTTGTCACACGGGCCCCTCATCACTCCTGCTCCAAGTCAAGCACCTGCTGTGCTCCAGGGCTACATCCATTCACCCGCATGGGGAAGGGCTTTCCCTCCGCAGGGGCACAAGTGGAGCTAAAAGCATCTGTACAGCTGCAGGGAAGCTTTTATATTTATTTATTTAGTCCATGGAAGTTGGTGTGAAGGAGAAAATGACTCTTGGTACAGAGAAGGCTGAGTGGCACGGGACCAAGGGGCCTCCCTTGATCTTTGGAGCCAGGTGGGACCTTGGCCTTTGCCGCAGCCAGTGGTGAGTTTCACAATAGGCAGGAGTAGGGGCTGGGGGCGTGGTGTAGGGATCACAGGAGCCACAGAATCTCAGAATCAATTAGGTTGGAAAAGACCTCCGAGATCATCCAGTTCAACCTTTGAGTGAACACCAGATTGTTAACTACAATATGGCACCGAGTGACATGTCCAGTCTTTTCCTAAACACCTCCAGGGGTGGTAAGTCCACCACCTCTCTGGGAAGCCCATTCTGATGTCTAATCACCTTTTCTTCAAAGAAATTCCTCCTAATGTCCAACCTGAACCTCCCTGGCCCAGCTAAAGGTGATGTGCTCTTGTCCTGATGCTGATTACATGGGACCACATGGCTGCAGCCTCCTTTCAGGGAGTTCTGGAGAGTGACAAGGCCACCTCTGAGCTTCCTTTTCTCCACGCTCAACACGCCCAGCTGCCTCAGCCTCTCCCACAGGACTTGCGCTCCAGACTCTACGCCAGCTCTCCTGCCCTTCTCTGGACACACGAGCGGAGCCCCGCTCCCGGAAAGCTCAGCGCGGCATCTGCAGCTCCAGCAGCTGTTTTTAACCCGGCCGGGGCAGTTTCCCGTGTCCCTCGCGGTGCCATGAGGGAGGGGAACCAGGCTCGGGCTCGGGCCCGGGCCCCGGCGCCGTCGCTCGGCAACAGCCCCGCCGCCCCGGGCACAGCCCGGTACCGCCGCAACCCGGAAGCAGAGGGGCGGAGGAGGCGGGCGGGGGGCGGCGGCGGGGCGGGACGGGACAGCGGTGCCCGCCCGTTCCCTCCTTCCCTCCCGCCCCGCGGGGGCTCCGGGCGCCAGCGCCGCGCCGAGCACGCAGTGTCGCACCCAAGCACCCGCCGCGCCGTGTCCCCGCACAACACGCTCCCCCAAAAGCTGCCGCTCAGGCTCCTCCTGGTCGGTGCGGGAGGAGGAGGAGGAGGAGGAGGCGGCGGCTGAGCGGCGGCTGCCGGAGCCAACGGGCGGCGGGGAGCGGGGCGGGCGCTGCGGGGGTGTCGGGGTAGAGCGAGGCGTGACCCGGCTGACGGGCACCGTGCGGCGGGCGCGGAGCCGGAGCCGGAGCCGGCGGGATTAGTGGTACCAGCGGCGGCGGCGGCAGCGGCGCGGGGCGTCGGTATCGCTCGGCTCTGGCTCTGGCGCGGCGTCTCCTCCACCCCCTCGTGAGCCTGGGGAACCTGCAGCTCAAAGCCGCCGCCAGCCACACCAACATGTACTCCAGCAACAAGCGGAAAAAGCTGTGGCGGGAGGAGAAAGGTATTATTGCCCTTCCCGGTGGCCGGGCCCGCTTCTCCCGCCTTTAACCCCGCTGAGCCGGGAGGGAAGGAGCCAGGGAACGGGGGGTGGTCCCGGTGCCCTCAGAGCCGCCGCCTCCCCGCGGGGTGTCCGGCAGCGCTTCCCGCCGGCCGCGGCTGAGGGGACGGGGTGGGCAACGGGGAACTCCGGGCTCTGTGCGTTTGTCCTGGGCTCTGCTGGCTGGAGCAGCCTCCATGGCAGCCCGGGCGTGCGGGAATTGGGGATGTTCCACTCACGGGCTCGGTGTATCCGTGAGGAGCGGAGGGAGGGCGGTAAACAACCCCTCTGCTGAGGGCTGCCCGCCCCCGAGTCACCTTGTGGGAGTGCTCCAGGCCGAAAAGTTGGGCACATGCTCTCCAAACGTGCTGCTTCTCCTTTCAACGCGGTTGTTTTCTGAGGGGAAACGTGGTTTGTTGGGATCCTTGGTGGGATCGGTTTAGATTCTAGCGTGGTTCAGCCGGGGTGAAATGTTTGGGGTATGGGAGTCTCAGAGCACCCCTACGTCCCATCCTTTGAACTACTTACGTATTTTTATATTTTAAGGACCCCCCACCTGTGTATTCTTAGTTTATAACACCCCTAAGCCAAACTCCAGAGCATGAAAACTGTGGGCCAAACGTTTGGTGCAGACGTTGTTTTTTTGGTACTTTATATTGATCTCGTGGAGAGCAATGTAAAAATGAGAAAAAAAAATTCACAGAGTGGAAGTGCAACATTTATATCTGTGAGGAGGAAAGCTTAATGTAGTAATAGATGAGGAGAGAAAGAAAAGCAGATCAGAGGGTCATATTTTAAGTTTTTTTTTTTTCTTCCATCACCCTTGTGACTCTAAGTATGTTTCAAGCTAAGAAGGCAAAAGACTAGTTCAATGAACAGGATTCAAGTGCATGTTTCTAAGGAAAAATTGTTAAAACACAAATGAACTTACTTTTCTGTAGGTTAGTTGCTCCTGTCAAACTCCTCTCAAATGAAGTGAGTCTTTTTCTTTCAAACTGTCTTACAGTCCACGTTTCTGTAGTAAAGGTGGGGCAACAAATTTCCACCTGGCAGAAGTTTCTGTTTTCAATGAAGAAGGTACAGTTAATTGTCTCAAGCATTATTTATGTGTGATCAGTTATAACTGACTTTTCCTTAAATGCTGTATGTTTTACCTTCAACAAGTGCAAGGGGCAGATGGGGGAAAAAGTTACTGGTAGGCTCTAGTTAATGTTCTTATTACTCCCACTTGCCTTTCAGCTCTGTTACTGTCTGTGTGAATTCATAGCCTGGCAGCTAAACTCGAACCATTAGTAGGGAGGGCAGAGTGGAGGGTTTGGGAAGAACTGGAGCTGCTGACACACTTGTGTGTCTCAGTCTGCTGTGTGGATGGTGGTCTCCATCAGCATGGTGATGTTACTGACTGCACATCATTGCTGCTGAGGTTTTTCCATCCAGGACGCATTTCTGAGTGCAAGCTGGCCACAACTCCCTGTCTTTTTGCCCAGTGAGAGCAGAGAGCATTTGCCAGTCTTCTGGTGCAGTAACTTTTCCAGCACCACGCTGATGGTGTTGGCCCTGAGTACTTTGAGTGAGGAGGGCAGAAAAAGCTTCTCTCTTCATTGCTGGCATTGCCCTTCAGTTTTTATCCCTGTGGGACTGTTCTTATCAAACACCTCGTTTACTAAAGAGGAAAACTACAGAAGCCCAACTTCTTTCCTTCTTACCCAGTCAGTACTTTGGAAATCAAATCTTGTCAGGGTCTGCCCTCACGTTTCATGAGCACCCCGAACCCCTGCAAAGCTGTCTCTGTTCTCCCCGTGAAGCTGAGTGCAGTTGTTCTCAGCCTTTTATATTCTGAAGCGCTTTTTAAAAGGAAAAAAAAAAAACACTGATTGCTAAATATTGAGTTCAAACCCACTGACAATAGCTTGCTTTTCTTAATTACATTCTTGATAATTAAGGGTTGGTTCACGTCCTCCCAGGGGAGATCATCCTTGAGGACAGCTGAAACTGAGCAGGACTGGAGGTGATTTTTAGAGCCTTAGACACAGGACTGGGCTGCCTGCAAACTTCCCAAGTTTCTGCCACAGGCAGAAAACTGTACTTGCAGTGAAGGCTGTTGGGAGCATCCTCTGGGAGGTTTGTGTATAATTAAGACTCAGTTTAAATTCTTGCTGCTGACTCACAAGAGCAAACTTTTGTAAAACTTTTCCTGTAGAGAAGAACTTGTGTTTTGAAGGCACTAGACTGGCTCTGTCACCTCTTCAGCAAAAGGCACCTAGGCTTGCTCTGCTTGTCAGTCCCTCAAAACTGACACACTCTCTCAGGCCTGCCTACCTGTAGGAATTCCAGTGTACACATCAGATACTTGGAGTTTCCTGTGCCTGGAGCTCGGGTGACAGAGGTGGGTACGCAGCTGTGACCTTCGTTGGTTAGTTCTGCTTGGCAAGTTTAAATATCCCACTGAGATACCAGGCTGAATAAGGAGAGAGAAGCGTTTTTGCCAGCTGGAGAAACTGGTAATACTGTCAAAAAATACCAAAATAAACTTTTTTCGTTAAGGGAGGCTGTGCTCGAAACTTGCCGTATTACACTGGGCTGACTGCGCCCTACATCATTAGGAAACTTTATTTTGAAAAAACACTTATGAAAGAACCCCAAACCAGACCCCAGTGATTTTCTTTCTTGGTTTTTTTAAGGTTTGATCTGAGAAGTAGGTTCTTTGTTCATCTTTTGCTGCTTCTTCAACTTGAGGTGAAAATGTTTGTTTTATGTCTGCCTTGTCCTTTATGTAAAATGCAAATAGCATAGGTCTAGCCTTTCCCTACACCCCTAAAAATTCTTCAGTCATTGAAGAGCATTTATTACTGATTAACATGTCAAGAAAAGCTGTTAGTGTGGTTAAAATAGCAGAGTGCTACTGGTAAAAACAGACCCAGAAAGCTGAGTAGAGTATGGATGTAATGATGTTCCTTACTGTTCTTTTTCTTTTCCCCTCTTCTTTTGGGAGGGAAAAAACTCTTCATCTTGTGCTCAGCTAATACTAAGCATTGATGAGGTAGGGAAGTAAGAGGATGTGACTGCAAAAATCAGCTGAAGTGCTGGGGTTGCTTGCAGTTTTGGGTCATTGGGATGGCTTTTTTTTTTATACTGTAAAAGTCCATTTATAGCAGGGTCTGAAGAAGAGTGAAGTTGGCAGTAGCTGTCGTACTTGTGCGATGTTTGAGGCTTTACTTTTCACTAAACATCTGAAAAAAGAGGAGGTGATGTTCTCAGGAGAAAACAAAAATGTCTATATGTATTGTTGTAACCAGGTGTGTCCCATTAATGTTCAAATGCAAATCTCTAAAGCTAAACTTGCCTTTTTTACACCTAGCAACTGACAGAACGTTTGCTGTAGCTGTGATCTCTTTTGTTATGTAGTAGCATTTTGTTAATTTACCACTAAGCTCCCTGCTTTTATTTGAACTTTTGTTTTTTCTAGTTGTGGTTTACAAATGCAGAACCTACAGAAAAGCCTTTCATACCTGAAAATTGCCTATAAAACAACAGTTCCCTACTAAAGTTGCTGTTCTCTGACACAGGAATTAGAGTGGCATTGGTCACTGTGTGGCTCATATGCAACAATGTTGGAAAGCTTGCAAAACTTCTTATTTTTCTCTGCCCTAAACAGAGCGTTTGCTGAAGATGACCTTGGAAGAAAGACGCAAAGAGTACTTGGGGGATTATGTTGCATTGAAAGCTATTCCAACATGGATGGAAGACTTGAAAAGTAAGAGTGAAAGTGACGGTAAGTGAAGTAAGGGAGTCTTAAAATATAGACCACTCTGTTTTCTCAGTTTCAAGTTACTTCTAGGAAGGTCAAGACTTAGACCCCATGTTGTCAGGAATAGTGATAGCCTAAAATTGGGATAGGGGCGAAAAAACCCTAGCAAAATTTGTTAAAGCTTCAGTAGTGTCCCAGAACTCTGCTGGTATCCCCAGATGAAATCACTAACCCTTAAGTGTGTGGAATAGATCCTTCTTTGTGTGAGTCTTACTTGGCAGATAATCCAGCAGTGAGCCATGCCAAAACTTCCTGAGCATAATGATATGGGGAATCTGGGCAGAACAGTGTTGCAGGTGACCCAAAAGCAGAGGGGAAGTGTGCAAGTTGTGTTGTTTTCTAAGAATCCAGAAACTGAAGAAGATGGGGCCTCCCTTACTTTTGTTAGTGCCTGCTTTCTTGGGCTGAGGAGCATCAGTCTTGCCTGGATTAACTCCCATTTCCTGAGTGTGTGCAGCCTTATCATGGTTGTGATTACCAGTGGAGTTGTCTAATACAGTGAGAACTGACCAAAAATATGAATCCTATTTGCTTACAGACTTCTCTACTCTGCAAGGAATTCTGTAACACTGCCTTGTTCTTTGTCTAGTTCCCTTTCATTCACACAAGGGTGTGGAGGAATAGGGATAGCTTCTGAGCTGGTTTCTTCCTCCTTTTTTTTTTTTTTTTTTTTCCTGTGTCTTGCTATCCTACTTGGCTGAAGCCTGTGTTTTTTTGAAGGAGTATCTTAACTATGAGAACCTAAAGTACTTCCTGCCTCTGCAGATAGAGGACTAATTTTCTGACTCTCTTGTTAACATTAAAGGCAAATACTGGCTGGGTGAAGAGGTGTGTCGAGTAACTTTGTGGCTGCAGGTGAACATGGTCTTTATGGTGGTAGTCCAGGTGAAAAGAGGCCTGGAGCTAATCAGCTGTTTTTAAACTGGAAGGCTGTAGCACTTATTTTAGCACAATCTGAAGGAGCTCAGAGATTTTCAGATGTCCTTGTCAAAAGCTGCTATTGCTATTGTCGACTCCTAAAAGCATCTGGAATAACTTTCGAAGTGAAAATATGTCAAGAGACTGCTGAGCTCTTCAGCCCTGCTGAGTAGCTGTATTACATCAGTACCCATAGATCTCTTTCCCATTTGAGTAGGTCATTTATATCTTGTAACGTCAGAAAGCCTGTCCATCTAGGAAACAAAGGCTGCATAAAAATAAAAAAGATTACCTGACTTCTTGCAAGTTGATTTTGGAGGCCTTTGGTATGTGGGAATATATAGTATGTCATGTAGTTTAACTGGGAGACTCTCTATCCCTCGTTGCCCAAAGTATGTTTTTATTCCAGCTACTCTCAGATTCTCTACAAAGCACTGAAATGCACAGATGTTGCATTACTTGGGCTGCTGAAAGTGACAAGGTGTGGATTTATGTTGTGATTGCTGTTACACTTCACAGAAGCAAAATGTCAGTGTCTAATATGTGGGTATTGAATCATGGCAGTGGCGAATTTATTTCCTTGTAGCTGCTCTTGCATTCTTTCTGTTAGTACCTAGTACACTGCAAAAAATGCTGGAAGGCAGAAGTTGTGCCAGAACACTTCTCTGCTACTTGAAGGTTTTGTTACACTGTACATTCAGGAGAACATATCCACAGTCACTCTTTTTATTTTGATGTATTTGTTGTAACCCAGCCATGTGTAATAGTGAACTTCTGGAAGGTTGGGCTGCTGAAATGCTTCCACATTCCAGCTGATTAGGACAATTAAAAGAAATATGTGTATTAATGTGACTGTTACTGCATCTATTTCATACTATTTCTATTAAATGTTGACCCTGCTCTGAAGGTATTAAGTGTGAGTTGAATTACAGAAAAACTAGAATTTAAATCTCATCTATTGCTGATGAGAACTTTTGCCCTGTTTGATGGGACATACAGAGGGCAACAGGTACAGCCTGAATGAGATTCTGAGAGAACAAGTGAATCCCCAGATGTGGTGGAATCAGTGATGTTGTGACAGTGCCATGCTCAAGTTCTGATATTTTCTTCAAGTGAAAGGTGGCTGCTTGCACTGACAAACAGAAGAGGTCTGAAGGGGAGTGGTGGTGAAAATAAAATCTTCTGTGTATTTGTCAATCCAAAACAACAACTGATGGGGAATTTGGAAAAACTTCTTTACAATTCACTTGCAATACCATATACAGTAAAAAAATGAGATTGATTAGTAAAGCATAGAGTGGCTGTTCAGGAAGAGTGATGAGGAGAAATCAAGAAAGCAACCAAGAACAAATCAAGTGAAGCAGGCACAATCAATCAGCTGCTGGAGTTGGAAGCTGTGGGAGAAGGGCAGAACATCTGAGCTGGCAGCCATCCCTGTAGACTCTCAGTACTCAGCTGGAGATTACAGGTGTTCAGTACTGCACAAATTTTTGTACTGGCTATTAGGAAAAATTGCTTGTACAACATAAAATCTTCACAGTGCCCATTTTTACATGTTTTGAGTGACTCACTGGAGGGTGTTGGGAGGTTCCAGTTAAGCATACATTTTTGTTATGTGGCAGTCTAATGGAAGATCATTGGAAAATCTGTATGCAGAATTATGCAAACTGAAATGACCTAAGAGGTTCATATTGGGAAGGAACCAATCTCACTGGCAGGGTACTTCATGGGTACTCTTTACTGGCATATTGGAAGAACATACCTTAGTTTGTGGAAGAATGTGGGTTTTTTTTTCTACCCCTCCTCCTCTCTTTGATAGAAGTTTTGTTCAGAACTAAATTCTAAAGAAAACCAGCAAAACTTGGTGAAAGTTTGGTGTTTTGGAGAGGATGGAAGTCTGTAATAGAGCAACATAACAGGAGGATGTGCATCTATATAAAGGCTCCTGAGGAGTAAAGTTACTGAATTCTGAATGGTAGCTGACAAGGGCTTTCTCTTTGTAGCAGCAAAGCTATTAAAAAAACGTGAAAGTTGAAAGAGGCAGTGTCTTCTAAAATATTCTGCTGTGACTAAAAAAAAAAAACAACCTACATTTTTGCAGGTCTCCTCGTGTGGACACAACTAGCCATAAGAAATTAGGTTGGTGTATGTTTTGGCATGGAATTTGGTCAGTGTTTGTGTTAAGTCTTGGTTTTGGGAAGAGGGTGGCACAATGTGGAATGCCAAGACTAAGCTTGGTGCCTACTTTTCTGAGCTAAGGGAAGCAATCTGATGTGGGTATTCTTGTTTCCAGAAGGGCTGTACTGTCAACACCCCTGATTTTTGGTGTGCTGCTTGCCAGGCTGCACAAGTGCAGCTCAGAGGTCGGGTGTTGCAGCAGTGGAAGGAAAAGGGACAGTTAGTGACAAGCGGCCCTCTTTAATGTCATAGAGGGCTTGATAATGTGAATATTCTGTAAAACGTCATTCTCCACACTAATTATCCTTCAGATACACCCAAAGCACATACATGTCATCTGTTTTCTTGTGTACTTTGAAATAGAGCATCTTCCTGGCAACATGTGAAGAATGAACTTGTTTTATGAAGCTCTGGAATTTCTATCCCTTTGTTTCTGTGCTATTTATTACATACCACTTTGTTAGGCATTCACCTTGTACAGAACAGGAGCTAATGAATAAAATGCCACCATGTAGACTAACAACTAGAGTTTATTTTGGAGTTAAATACATATATTAGCGTTTTGTTGTATAGCTTTTTTTTATTGTGTTTTTTTTGTTGTGTTAGTTTTTTCTTTGTTGTTGTTGTTTGTTTGTATAATTCCCAAAGATATCTTTATTCTGCGGGGGTGAATTTGAGAGATGACTTCTGAAAACTTTCCTGGAAAGCTTTTTTAAAAATTAGGGTCTTGGGACTTTTGTTGTCACTGAGTTTTGTGTGTCACTGCTAGAAAAACATTTGTTGTATTAATTGGGTAATTCAGAAGATGGAATAAGTGATATTGTTTAACTCCAGGCAGCTGATAGTCTTCCTGACTCTCACAGCCCTGTAATTCATTGGTGTGACAATGATACCAAGAAAACAGCAAATCCATGTGGTGGTTTAAAGATCTTTGCTAGTGGTAAGAACTACTTTTCATAGGATGAAGTTAAAATGGAAGGAGGTCTGCAGCCCTTTTAAACAAGTCTTGAAATGTTTAGATGTTTTGGCAGTCTCTGAATCATTTTAATCTGCTGTTTTTTGAAGAAAATGATATGGCTCAAACTGTTCAAATCAATCTATTTTAACACTGTGAGGGTTTTATGTATAATAATAAGGTTTAGATTTAATAAAAGCATCGTTGTACTATGAATGTGTAGCTTTCTAAATATTCACAGTGGGTTGACACAAGATTACAGAGACTACAGGATCATGTAGATGAGCCACTTCAGATGCTTCATGGTGGAAAGAAAATGTGTGGTAACACTGAGCTCTGACCAGCATTTCAGCCAGACAAGGAAGAAATGGCATGTCTCTAAACCACTCAATATTATCAGTGATTTATACGTAAAAAGAAGTTATGTTCAGCTAGAACATGGAGGTTGTTAGACAAGTTTGACAATCACAAGTTCGGTCAGTAAGAGCTGTGTGAAACCTGTGAGCTTCAAGACCATCCCCCACCAAAAATCCAACTCCATCAGCTTTCATTGTTTTTTTTTTTTCTTACAATGATTGTCTTTATAACAGATTCTTAGCTGAGTGACTGGGATGAAAGAAAATTGAGACAGCTTAGTGTAATTTTTACTATCTCTCAAAAAAAAAAAAGCTTTTGCTACTTGAAACTCTTGGTTTGATGAAGTTCAGAGTGCAGCAGTTTTTCTGCTGAGTACACACAGAAAACAGCAATAACTTGTGTGCTACCATTCAGGGTCTCTTTTGTTACCTGTGGCCCTGAATGTGAATTCCAGCTTCGCTTAAACTCGTGCTGCATTTGGTTTTGTCCCTTCTTTTCATGTGTTGGCATACAGCTGTTACTCATGCTAAATATCTTATCACCAGGTCTCTTCAAGACTGGTGTGTTTAAGGTTAGAAAACTGTCTCCTAGATGCACATGGACAGCACTGCTTATTAATTGCTGTGTATAATGGCTGGGGGAGCACCAGGAAGAAACTAACAGCTATGGTTTCTGTGAAATGTGTGAGGATCGTGGTAATTATTTTGAATACTTGTGAAATTAACATGCTTTTTGTGGACGTGGCTGAAAATCTGTTTGCTCATTTCTGCTCTCTCTCCATGTTATATGCATATTAAGGAAGCAGCAAAGGAATTAGAAGGGTAAGAAGAGCAAACCATGTTTGCATATTCTCAGTCTGTGCTGAAGGTGTCCAGGAGTCTCTGTGCCCCTGGCATAATGTGGAGTAACTTTAAGGCTGAGTTGGTGTTTGGCTGCAACAGGTATCCAGGGCAGGAGGGTGTAACCAGATCCCTGTGTGCTCTTCTTTGCTCAGGCTCTTGGCTGCCCTTTCAGGATGTGTCCTGAACAGACACAAAGCTGCAGAGTGGTGCAAATCTGATGATGTGATCTCGTGACACCTTTCTGGCTTTCCCAATACGTACCGTGGCTATTGATTTCCGAAGGTAGACTTGCACAGTACAGAGATGGGAATAACTCTCTGTCATGGTTTACCATAGTTTGGTTTTTAGTTAGGGGAAAAAAAATCCATGAACTATGAAAGCAATTCCCTGTAAGGACCTTGGCAGCTTTCTTTGGACCTGACAGAACCAATCAGCTGGCTAGTTTTGAATACTGACACCCTGCTCAACCACTTAAGAGAGCTGAATATGCCTCTGTGAAATCACATTTAAAGATGAAAAGCCCCAGGAAAAGTTCTCTGGCTTCTGGCCTCTGAACAGGTAACTGGATGCTGGCCAGGCCAGGCCCTGCTCTGCTGTGCGACACGGCTCGGCTGAGATTCTGCTGCTGCCAACTTCCAACCATGGCTGGCAGGCCAGGCTGGGATCAGCTTGGCTTCAGGAGGAACTGAGCTGGGCCCTGCTCTGGCCATGAGCTGCCAAGCCATCTGCTGGCAAACACAGAAAATCATGTGGATAAGAATGGAGCAGCCCTGTGCTGCAGGCTGGAATTGACCTTGGCAGGGGTTGGAAAACAGCCAGAGTGTCTTCCACCTGGCAGAGATCAGTCACGTGGCCATCCACAGACCTGGGTGAGGTATTGACTCAGTGCACAGATGAAACTTGCAGACATCAATCCTCTGTCGAGAGAAAAAGGAAAGAGTGAAGACACGTAAAAAAACCAACATGGAGACACTGAGGTCAGTGAAGAAGGAGTTAAATCCCAGGTGAAGGGGGAATGAGGAGATGTCTTAGTCTTGGGCTGAAATTCTCTTGTAGGGCTATGGTGGAGGTGTAACTGATACATCAGACTTTTTTTCCCCTCTAAGTCCTGGAATGCTTTGAGGGGATGTAGCATTGTAGCCATGGCCATGAGCAGAGGCACCAGTGTTGAAGCAAGCAGATGCTGAAGTAGCTGTGATCTAGTGAGAAACTTGAACAGAGAGAGATGAGAAACCTTTCCCCAGGGATAGAAGAAGAAAACCTCTGTTGCCAGAGATAAAATAAAAGAACTTTTTGTATTAGAACAGCTCAGCCTTAAAATTGCACCCCAGTAAGCTGGAGTGACCCATGGTGGTAGTTGGGGGAAGATTACCAAACTGTGGGAGGGGCTTCATGATTGCAGATTTCCAAGTGGCTGCTGCTCATGAAAATTAAAACCACGAGAGAGCTGTTTCTTTCCATAGCATGGTAGGAGAGACTCTGAAGTTCCTCTAAGTGAACTGAAGAAAGATTATTTTAAAAGTGGGGAACTGACTGATAATACCAAATTTCTCTTTACATTGTCAGTAGAAAAAAAAAAAAAATTGGAGGGAGAAGTGGCCTGACAGTTTATTCTGATTTTTTACTATTTCTTTTCTTTTAGTTCTGTTAATAAAGTTTTCTTTGTACTGTTTAAAGTTTTGAGCCTCCTTTGCTCTCCTCCATACCCTTATCTTACAGCAGAAAATGAGTAATAATTCTAGTGGGTGCACTGGCATGTGGTGAGCCGTAGACCCACTATATTAATTGGTGCATTGGCTGGGAAATTTGGGTTGGTGAACCAAAACCACTACACTCTTCAGGTGCAAGTTTACTTGAGCATTAACTGAGCAATAATCTCTGTGTTTGTTCATTTGTTTCTGGAGCTGAATCATATCTAGTTACTGATATCCCTGATGAACGTAGATAAATTAGTGTGTTTAGTGTAAGGGGTGAAGGGAAACAACAGTAAACAAAAAGACTGAAGATGTATTCGGTTGACCTTGTAATTTTCTGGTGAGCTTCACACGAATAACCTTCACAGGATGGATTAGCTGCCAAAGAGATGACGCTTCTTTTACAGCTTGCATTGAAATGTTTTTGGGAAAAACAAAAAAGAAGTTTCTTGCTTTCAGCAAGTATGAGATAAAGATTACTAAAAAGTTCAGATCTGTTTATATAGATTAAGAACACAAAATCCAGTGTAGCTAATCCTCGCTCTAAGAAAGTAAATCACTTGTCTTTGATGTAATTAAGATGATGACTTCTCTTTAAGCTGCTGCTCTGTGACTTTTTTAACAAGGTAACTTCCATACAGCATTAAGCTTATACAGGTCCTGGATAGAGTTATTATTTTGTGGTTTTTCTGCATGCAGCTGAGAAAGCTCTCTTATCTACAGTGGCAGACAGTTCCTTGTGGGGCAAAAGTTAACCATAGGAAAGGATGCTGCTCTCAACAATAAATGGATAAATTGGTGTCCTTATTGAGGCTCTGCAAGCTCTTGATGGGTTTTAGGGAGGGACAGTAGGTGGAGATGCGAAGGGAAGCTAGGCACATCTTTGCCAGAAAGAATAGTTTTAATGTTTAATTACTGGTGACATGAATCTTGACAGATGAATAACCTTCAAGCTTCTGTCCTGTGCAATATGAGAAACAATCCTTCCT